TGAGCAGGGAGCCCGATGTGGGGCTCAATCCCAGGACCCTGGGACCATGACCTGAGCCGAAGGCAGATGCTTAACGACTGAGCCACCCAGGTGCCCCAATCTTTTACTTTTTAAATTAAATTTATTTTGAGAGAGAGCAAGCGCAGGCAGAGCGGTGAGGGGCAGAGGGAGAGGGAGAGAGACTCTCAAGCAGACTCTGCACCGAGCATTGAGCCCAGTGCAGGGCTCGATCTCATGACCCTGAGCTCATGAGCTGAGCCAAAATCAAGAGTCAGACACTTAACTGACTGAGCCACCCAGGTGCCCCAGGAATAATCTTTCACAAAGGTAGGCAACAAGAGAAGAAGAACCCCAATGAAAGTGTCTTTGGAACACTTAGAGGCTAGGCCAGAGTTTAAAGTAGAGGAAATTTCTTTCCTGACATGCGTCTGTCAGGAGTAGTCCAAGCCTTTGTATTGCCTTCACAACAACCTAGGGCTCCGCCTTTTTTTTTTCTTTCCTTTTCTTCCTCTTCTCATTTTCCTTTTTTTTTTTTTTGTATTTTAGAAATTAAATTTTATGATTTCAGGTTGGTTCAGGAATCTTTTTTTTTTTTTTTTTTTTGAGAGACACAGAGAGAGAGAGAGAGGCAGAGGGAGAAGCAGGCTCCCAAGGAGCAGGGAGCCCGATGCGGGACTCGATCCCAGGACCCTGGGATCATGACCCGAGCCAAAGGCAGACGCCCAACCATCTGAGCCACCCAGGCGCCCTGGTTCAGGAATCTTGAGGCATGCCAAATTAACCTGGGCCAGGTGGGTAGTTTCTCTGTCTATATTGTTTAATGAGAGGAAGTGTCATTCATATCACCATCATTATTATATATGAACTTAATTCAAATCAATTCGGTAAACACTGAGAATATGCGGTGTCAGAAATTTTTAAGCATCAAATAGATCACACCAATATGATATTTTTCTATCAGTGGCCTTTAGAGCAGGGCTTAGATGTACAGAAGCAGATTCTCAAACCACAGGGCACCTCATAAGGCCAAGGATTTAAGGAAACAAAGTTTGGACTCTGACCAATAGAGTATGTTATCTGTGTCCAGAGACATATAAGTAGGCACAGGAGGGAGACTGTCTCCTTGTCAGTTTCCCCTGCTTTCACCAGCAGTCGCCTGTGCCGTGGTGGGGTGAGATTAACTGGTAAATTCATCATAGGACTGATCAACTAGAACGACAGAGGAGTGGTGCTCCAGTTGTGTTCACTGGGCAATAGACTTTGGAATTCACCCCTTTTGAAAAATTTTCTTTAAAAATATTTAGGAAAACTCACCCAAACAGTACGTGTTCCGTCCATCAATCTAGTTAGCACTTCCCAAAGGAGTTTTGCACCAGAAGCATGTGGTAAGGGAGTTAAGAATACACACACATGGCTCCAGCCAAGACTCCTTGATTCTTAGGTCTAGGGAGGTCTAGGCAGATCATGGTGAAAGCTCGCTAGGTGGTCTTTATGCCTACACCTGCTTCCTCTCTCACCACAACCTCCGTTCTCCACCTGCTTCCCACCCTAACACACATGAGGGAGTCCCTGCAGGCTCACTCTTAATACATTTGGGGACAAACATTCTAAAGTCCCATCAAATCCTGAGGGAGGATGGCAACAGAGGAACATTAGATGTCAGATGTCAGTTTGGAAAATCTCCCCAGTTGATTCAAATAGGACTCTTCATTTTCCCACTTACACCAAGAATCACAGCTCTACAGTTTATCCTCGGATGAAATAATATATCTGAAGGCAGTTTAACTGGGCAAATACATTTTGAGCCCAAGCCCTTGTTTAAGAATTGCTTTTGGAAACTCTCAGAGTTGCACATTTCCATTGGCCTTACTAGAAGAACATATATATCAAACTTATCTATTTGTCACAGGGTCACTGATGAGGTCCTTGCTCAATTTTATACTGTTCCTTTTGCTAGGACTGAGGGAGAATGGAACTTCTTCCTAAGGATTAGTTTATGCTGTATGGATGCTGGATCATGTAATTGTCTGTTTCTCTCTTTGGCTTGGCTGTTTGAAAGCTCAGAACCAAATCTGTGGCCACAGCATGGATGCTGAGCAGTTCACCCTGTTTTCTTTTGCCTAATTTCTTCGCTTATTTTTAAAATTAACCTCATCTCTGTTTAAACGTGTTCCAGTTGATACATTTGAAATATAATCAGTACATTTGACACAATGTATAAGTATACATGTAGCAGTTGAAATACTTGTAAATGACTGATAAATTTGTAACAACTGATGAGTTTATTTATTTTTTAAAGATTTCATTTATTTATTTGACAGAGGGAGAGATAGCACAAGCAGGGGGAGCAGCAGGCGGAGGGAGAAGGAAAAGCAGACTCCCCACCAAACAGGGAGCCCGATGCGGGGCTCGATCCCAGGACTCTGGAATCATGACCCGAGCCGAAGGCAGACGCCCAACCGATTGAGCCACCCAGGCACAACTGATGAGTTTAAAAAGTATGCAACATTTTATATTTGTGTCAAATCCATTCTTGGAAGATAGCCTGGTATAAAAAAAAACAGATAAAACACAACGGATATACACTTGCTTTGTAGATGTACTGATGAAATGCCTGGTGATTTAGAAACAATGTAGTGGACTACTTTGGGGGGGATGGGGTCCAGTGAGTGTTCATTTTAGTCAATGGCTTTTCTAAATGGTTCTCATATAGGGCCTTCCAAAAGAGGATCACTTGGGGAAGCTGAGGCATCTTAATGACTTTTAGGTCTGGAGTAAATCGTGTCTGTCTAATGACCTGCGTCCAAACTGATGATCCTTCCTAGATTCTTGTTCTCACTGATGTCTAATTCATCAGCCTCCCTAGTATCTTCTTGGTATTAACAGGGAACCCAGAAAAAAAACTTTCCATTTTGGCATACACATGAGTGCGCACGCGCACACACACCCACACACCCCCCCCCCACACACACACACACACAATGTATAAACTGTATTTTCAGAAAAAAAAGACATTTAAAAAGAAGCCATTCCTCTTTATCAATTCTTCTATTCCTTCTTACTCCTATTTCCTGGCTATGGTGGGATGTACTTTATATGGTGCATGCATTTTCTTTAAAAATAAGAGAATTGCATTCCATGAATATCTGCTTTGAATCTGGACTTATTTTCTTCCCCATGCTGGTGAGATCCTTTATAATATGCTATAAAATGAGGCCCCAATTTCCTCAGCCTATAAAATCTCCAGAGGTATTCAAAGCCACCTTCAAAATGCTGGAAACCACACCATGTGAGACTGGTCCCAGCAGAACGGTCTAGGCCTCACATCTGTGGAGGAAGCCATTAAAATCCCATCCCAGAGTGTTCAGTTTTCCTTCACTCTGGAAATCTGCTTTCATTTGTGTGCAATGTGTCTCCTGGTGGAAACAGCACGTGCGGGGCTGGTTGGGGGCTGCTTAGACCCTGTGAGTGGGTGCCAAAGGGCAGAGGGGGGTCGGCTGGAAATCATGGAACTTGAAAGTGATGAACTTGTACTTGGCAGGGTTTGCTTGCCTAGTGGTTCCTGGTTCCCCTGCAGCTCATTCAGAGATCTGGCCTTAATAAAGGCAAGGTGCCCTCAGAAGTTTTGGTAAAGGACAAGAAAGGAGGCTCTAGGGCACATCTTGTGAAGAGAAAAGCACACGGCTTTGTGGCACCCTTAGACACATGCTGGACAAGAGAACTCAGCAAGGATGCAAATGGTTTTTATCTGTGCTGTCCCACAGGGTCGCCACTAGCCATGGGTAGCTGCTGAGCACTGGAGGTGTGGCTAGTGCAACCTGGGAACCGAGTATTTTATTTCATTTCATTGTAATTACTTTAAATTTAAATCACTACCTGTGGGTAGTGGCTACTGCATTGGCCGGCACAGCCTTTGACAATTTCATGAGGATAACTTGGCTTGCAGACATGCTCAATGCGAGGCCCGCTCCGTAAGTTATTTCTTAGCTTCCTTCTACGTTTCTAAGGCTGTGGTCCCTGAGGATTTGCATCACTCAAAATAAGCATGTCTGGGCCCCAGCTTGTCCGTCACTGTCATCTTTTCAATGGGTTCCTCCTTTGCAAATAAATGTGCTTTCTTTCTTCCTAACCTGCTTCTTGCACAGAGAGCCAGAGGACAGGGCTGCCTGCCAGCGCTCTACCCCGTGCCTTAACTCAAGAGGATGAGAGCTAGTCCCTCGGGGAGGATTTGCTGAGACAGATCTCTCCAGCAGAGGGCTGGGGCCTTCTGCCTTGACATGACGCCGCTCCCTTCTTTAAACAAAATGCCAGGTGAATTTAAATTGATGAGGAACGTAGGTCAAGGACAAGGCAAGAGCCTGAACAAATTGTGAGCTTGACAACAGCTACTTCTAGTTTAACTTGAGCAGGGGCTGCCTGGGGGCTGAAAATCAATACAGGGCCCTGAATTGGGGTTTGCTCACCAAGTCACATGCTCATCTCCCACAAGCGGTAAGTCCGGGGGTCTTAAGCCCAATCAGGAACGTCGCCCAGAATACAAGCTGTATAGTCAAGCATCCTGACCACATTGTACAGTCTTCATCGGGATCACTGTGGGGGCCCCCAAATCCCCAAATCTGATGATAGCAACTAAAAACTGGCCCCCAAACACATGAAAGACAGTAGTGTATCTATCAGTACAACAACTAATTTTAAAAACATGGGTTAGTGGGGTGCCTGCGTAGCTCAGTCGTTAAGCATCTGCCTTTGGCTCAGGTCATGAGCCCAGGGTCCTGGGATCGAGCCCCGCATCGGGCTCCCTGCTCAGCGGGGAGCCTGCTTCTCCCTCTCCCACTGCTTGTGTTCCCTCTCTCGCTGTGTCTCCCTCTGTCACATAAATAAATAAAATCTTAAAAAACAAAACAAAACATGGGTTAGTGATTAGTAAATGCTGGGCCTCAAACTGGGAGCTGGAAAGACAGAAGAGAAGGAAACCAACTCTCTACCTTCTAGCTGCTCACCGGCCAGCGGCAGGAATAGCAGGAAAGGCCCAGACACTGTGATAGGCTGTGGTAAGGACTCTCATAAAAGAGTGGATGGGAGACTGTGATCGTACATCGAAGAGCCCAGATTCAGCCCTGGACTTCACCAAGGGGGCTTCCTGGAGAAGGTGGCATGGGAACTGGACCTGAAAGCACAGTAGGAATTTGCCAAGTGCGCCAGAACACTGTGGACAGAGGCATCTGTCCCAAGGCCCAGAAGGAGGAGAAGCTTGGTGTATTTGGAGGAGGGGAGATGCTATATTCTGCCCCTCAGTATGTAAACAATACATATTATAATGATTCAGACCACACAGAACTGGTAAAAGGAGAAAGTCAAATGAACCCCCTGCCATGAACTTTGTGATGTATCTGTATCAACCGTACACAAAGCTTTGAAAAATAGTGCTTTGCACATAGTAACTACTCAATAAAGTTAGTTCAATAAATGCCAACCCTGTGTGCACGTGTGAATGGCCACAAAATCCAGAGGCAGGCTCCCTCATTCTCCCCCAGACATGAATCTGTCCACGTCCTTCTCAATGTCTCCTTCCATTTCCATACCTGGAAATCATCAGAGCAAGTTCCCACGGCAAGTTTGAGGGCTTTCTTGTTGGTACGCAGTCTTGGGCATAGAGCTTTGAGGCCCCCGAGGGTCATGCTTTTGCTGGAAGGTTGTTTTTAGAACCTCTCACATAAGAATATCATCTCGTTGAAGGCTATTCCCCATTTGAACCCCGGAGGGACTTCCCCTAGAAGCACTGCCTTGGAAGCCAGAAGATGCCATCTTAAATCTATGGTGCTCCTATTAGTCTGGTCTCCTGCTACTCCAAGTGGGATGCGTGGGACAGCTTTTAGAAATGTGAGGGATGCCTGGGAGCTTGTTAGAAATGCAGAAGCTCAGGTCCTGCTGGATCAGAATCTGCACTGAAGACCCCAACCCGACTCAGGGGCACAGGGCAGTTTGAGAAGCTCCAGCCCCGTCAACACAATCCGGATCCCTGGGAGAAACCCAAGTGCTAGCCCATGAGCTCAGCCCCGCCTCCCCACTCCCCTCCCACTGCTCACAGGCCCTGGCTTTTGAAATCTCCGCAGACAGAAATCGGCCCGTTTCTGCACTGTGCGTTGTGCCATTTTCTTCTGGCTGTAGCTAGGGGCCCTTTATCCTCTTCCCGACCCTCTCTACATCCCCAGTAATCCTCAAAATTGCCACTCTGAGCCCTGGCCCTCTGCGGGTCCTTCTTGGTGGCTTCTGTCCCTCTGGCCTCAACCTCACCCCTTCAGCTATGCAGAAACAGCACAGCAGTCTTGGAGCGTATGACCTATGTCGCTGCCACTGTGGGTTCAAATCCCAAGCAGTTGTACGACCTTGGGCAAGTTATGTCACCTCTCTGTGCCTCTTGGTGGCTCCCGAATTCATTCGCAGACACATGTCCACACTGGGGTGTAAATCGTACCTCCTGTCATCATTGCAAGCTGGCCATCTCTACCCTCTCTAAGCGAACCTGCGCCAACAGGAAGCTCAGAGAACTATTCCTAAGACAGTAAAAGGACTTACTGTTTTCCTGATTGTGATTTACATAGACTGGCTGGCGGGTGGCCCTACCCGTGGGGTAACACATGGGTAACCAATTCCTTTTCTTGGTACTACTTAGACTGAAGTAGGTTCTAAGTAGGTTCTTGGGTAGTTTCCCTCTCAGACAGTCAAGGGCTTCAATAGAGCCAGGTTGATGCACACTTTCTCAACATTCTGTTTATTTAAGTAGTGAGAAGCTGCAAAAAAGCTGGATCTGGATACACTAAGAATTACCCAGATCCGCCACTTAGCTGGTGTATAAAATGTATAGCTATTTAAGAAGGATTTTAATTTTAAAGGAAAGTTTTTTTTTTATTAAAAGATTTTATTTATTTATTTGACAGAGAGAGACACAGTGAGAGCAGGAACACAAGCAGGGGGAGTGGGAGAGGGAGAAGCAGGCCTCCCGCGGAGCGGGGAGCCCGATGCGGGGCTCAATCCCAGGACCCTGGGATCATGACCTGAGCTGAAGGCAGACGCTTAACCGACTGAGCCACCCAGGCGCCCCTTAAAGGAAAGTTCTTTAAAAAATAAAATAAACTAGGGGCACCTGGGTGGCTCACTCAGTTAAGCATCTGCCTTTGGCTCAGGTCATGATCCCAGGGTCCTGGGATCGAGCCCCGCGTCAGGCTTCTCCCTCTCCCTCTGCCTGCTGCTCCCCCCCCCCCCCCCCCGGCTTGTGCTCACTCACTCTCTGTCAAATAAATAAAATCCTTAAAAAAAAAAAAAAAAAGAACCCTATTGATTAGATAAAAAATTCCCTGCAGCAAAATGTTGCATTGCCATGGGTGAACCTTAAAATCATTATGCTCAAAGAAGCCAGATACAAAGACCACATACTGCACAATTCCATTTATGTGAACTGTCCAGAAAAGGCAAATCTAGAGAGATGGCAAGTAGATCAGTGGTTTCCAGGGCCGGGGGCAGGTGTTGGGGGGTGACTGAATATGGGTAGTAGGGGTCTTTTGGAAATGACAGAAATGTTCTTCAACTGGATTGTGGGGATGGTGGCACAACTCAGTAGATTTACTGAAAAGCATTGCACTATACATTTCAAGTGGGATCATTTTATGATACAAAATTGTATGTCAACAAAGCTGCTAAAAGTTCACATTGCCACACTCAACCATCAGCAGCACCACGGTGACTTTTATTCTTTGATCACCACCTTTAGTTTGTGAAATGGACAGAGTAAATGCAAAGCGACCCGGGGTATTCTGGGGAACGAGTGGGGGTGGGAGACACGTCTCTGATGCCGCTTAATGTTTGTGAATCTCCAGTACCTTGGTACTACCATAACTGTTGTTATCAGCTTACCGGAGCAATAAGATGAAGACTGGAAAATCAAAGTCATTCCGGCAGTTGCAAGCTGATCTGGGTTCTCTTTGAGTCTTACATTCAGAGTTGGACAGATAACTGCCCACTTACTCTACCCTTCTCCCTGTGGGGCTGGAGAGTTGTTTTTTGTTTTTTTTTTTTTCACGTTTTTCAGAGAGATTTTAGGTTCATAGCAAAACCGAGAGGAGGGTAGAGAGATTTCCCATACACCCCCCGCCCCACCCCCACATGCGGCCTCTCCTACTGGCCACGTCCCCAGCGGAGGGCGCATTTGTTACTGTAATATCACCACCACCAGAGTCCACAGCTTACAGCAGGGTTCGCTCTTGGTGTGCTACATTCTATGGGTTTGGACAAGTGTATCATGGTGTGTATCCATCATTACTGGGGCTGGATTTGTGAGTTTAAAACTACAGGGAAACGCTGGGCATTCCTGGAGAGATAACACGGTATCTACACAGAGCTGTGACGGATCTGATATGCACAGTTGTCTTAATCCTCCTTTTCCCTTTTGGAGGTTTGCTAGGTAGATACAGCTGAACCTACTAGGAGTTAATTAATTAATAATCTATTAAAAGATTTACTTGAGAGAGAGAGAGCAGGTGAGCAAGGGGAAGGGCAGAGGGGGCGAGAGAGAGACAGAGACAGAGAGACACAGAGAGAGAATCCTCAAGCAGGCTGAGCGCGGAGCCTGACTGCAGGGCTGGGGCTCGACCCCGGGACCCTGACTGAGATCATGACCTGAGCCGAAGCCAAGAGTCGGACGCTCAACCGACTGAACCACCCAGGTGCCCCACCCCTCCGCCCTTGTTACAAATTTAGAAAGACCTGGGGGAAATTCTGACAGCCAAATCCTGCTATATTGTTCCAATGTTGTTAAAAACTGTTGCTTGGAGACTAAATCCGATCTATAGAAACGATTTTGTTCTTCTTTACCTTGATGTGATTTATCAAGGGGCTGGGCTGCCAAACCAATTTCCTATTATTCTGTATAATTGTACAGCACATAAAAATAAAGAGATGTCTTAAAAAGTTAGCACGGCTTGCTGCTAGTGCAGAATGCTGCCAGAACCCGTCTCATGGCAAATGAAAGTGTTAGATAAGATAAGTAGTTTTAAGCCTTCTGTGGGACTTAATTCAATCCAGCAGATGTTCAGATGATGCTTAAAGCTTATCCTTCCTTAGTGATCTAAAATGTTTAGCAATAGCCGGAAGAATTTTTCTTTGACTTAGCCGTTTCTGTTTCAAAACATTCTTGATGTTAATCTCATCAAGAGGGCAATCTTGAGCCCTTACTGCAATTATGGTTTTGTAGGTGCTCCTGATAACCAAAGGCCTCCTCCTTCTGTCTTGAAGACCCAGGCAATTGTCAAAAGTGGCTGAGACGAATGGTCTGAGATGTACCCTATTTAACAGCCACCAAGTTGGCCTGCCACAATTCCCTGCAGAATACAGACAGAATACAGAGACTCCCAGGACACAGCCAAGCACAGCAGGCAGCACAAGCCCCCAAGTCGGGCTTGTCTGATGTGCAGGGGGGCCCCGCATGCACGCTGTGCATGCTGAGGCTCTGTGTCAAAGCTGACGGGCGCCAAGATTTGGAACCCCCTAATGGGCCAAGGGGGCAGCAAGCAAACCTGCCCACCTTTGCCCTGGAGGGACCCATTATCTTCATTATCCTGGTCAGGAAGTAAATCTGCCCTTTGCCTCAGAGGGAGACACTGTCTCTGGATTCCAAGGCTGGGTCCTATACAAACATCCTGGGAAGAAAGATAATCCAGAACAAAGGCTTTTGTCCATGCCTTTGCTCAAAAGATGGGCAGAAATGCAAGAGAACTGCCTCTTGACAGCACCATCTCCAAGCAGATGTCTGCCTAGATGTCCCCTCTCTAAAACAGCCCCCCATGTCACTTGCTCCCCCTGCATCTGCTTTACGTTTTTGCATAGCGCCCATCACATTCTGGTATTTTCCATAGTTACTTGTCTGTTGTAAGTTTCTTCCACTAGAAGGCAAACCCCACGAGGGCAGGATGTCATCTGTCTATCAGTGCTGTACCATCAGGGTTGAAAACAGTGCTTGGCTATTCAAGAAACACTTAACTAAATTCGTGAATGAATCAACAGGCAGTCACTGAGTATCTCCTGTATCCTAGGCGGTCTGTGTTGAATGAGAGCACTATGTTTACCTATACTTATTAATTCTTCCCAAACGAATTACTCCAGACACTCTGCTCAATAATGGGGTGCCTTGCAAAGTACCCAGGATTCTTTAATCACCCTGTACTCTGAAAGATCTGGCCAAGTTTAGGATCCAAGCTTGTGGTTCAAAGCAGAAGCCTCATTTCAGCCTTCAACACAGAAAGGAAAGGGGTAGATGAGGACTTGTGTCTTTGGGGAAAGGCCTCACTAACGGTATGGCCAGTGCTCGTAAGCTATTAGAGAGCTGAGGCTGGGCTCAAAAGGCCTTAGGAACCAATCCATGGTGGTATGGCACACAGACCACAGGCTCAAGAATTTCAACCAAGACACTGGCATTTATAAGAACTTTTTTCCAAAGGAAGAGGAAAATGCTCACCGGCCAGGGACTGGGAAATCCCACGCCCCAGTTCCTTGACACATGGAAAGTAGGAGTGGTCTTTTAGAGCGGCGCATAGCCGAAATATGCATCACAGCTCCCAACCCCTGTGTGAGAAAGACTTCAGATTCATAAACAAGCTTCAAAAGACTAAGCTGATACTTTACACCC